ACACACACACACACACACACACACACACACACACACCAACATGGCAATCTATTTTCGCTACAAAAAGTGACTTTCATCATTCACTCATTCCATTTCTTACTAATTCTCAATTACTTCAATTATTAGTAATCAGGAAGAAGTCTTCACTTATTAACACTATAAATTATTACATAATATGAAAATTAATTTTAAATTGTATCTTTACCGAATCCCATTTAATATTCCAAACATCGCTTCTCTCAAGGTATAATGATACTACGGAATTATCACGTAATTCAAATAATTTCAATCCTTTGGCAGTAAGTGCAGCCAATCGTGTTCCATTACAATTCAATTCCAATTTTTCTACACAACAACCCAAATTAAGAACTGACTGCAATGTTACTTCTGGCAATGAATAATAATGAGCCACTCCAGAATTTCGACACTGCAATTATTCCATATTTTTCAAGTGCTAATTTCATGTGCTCCATTATTAGCACACATTTATTTAGTGTCAACATGTAATCTGCTATTCTTGCTGCAATACTTTTTTATGTTCCGGAAAAATACAAAATAAAATGTTGCTGAATACAGAAAGAAATTACCAGGAAAATCTAAGAAACTGAAAATTTACATACATATGTAGAAATAAGTTTTGGAAATATTTCGAGAAATATGATTAAAGCGAAATTTTATTTCAAAAACTTACAACTAGAATGAATTGTTTCGAGATTCCTATTGCACATATTTCATCTTTTTGCTGCTGCTGAAATAAATGTTGAACAACATTTATGCAAAATAATTATTTTTTCTGCCAAAAATCACACAATGTTATTACATAAAATGTGTATTTGACGTATATGTGTACCCTCTTATTAATTAACACAAATAGCGCGTGAATAAAAAATGAAATACGTTGCATTATTAAATATTTTGTCATTTAATGCAAACTTTTAATACTTGAGCTCGTCTTCGCATGAGATTAAGTGAAGTTGCATCAACTTCATCAGTTTCATCAATATAGTACAATCTGAAGTTTTATTAATATTTCAAAATCTATTAAAGTAAAAGTGAAATAAATCAATCAGATTAAATATTTATAGTAATATTTTTTAAAAATATCAAAGGAATTGTATTTTATTTTCAATCAGAAAAATATGAAATAGTCACTTTTGATCGTTTTGAATTGAATTATCAGCACTTAAATTGATTTCACGATTTACAGCACATGGAATATTATACTGCCAAATAGTGAACGATAAATTATCTGCGATGACAACTTCAGAATCATTCATTACTACATGCTTTGGCTCTAAATTAGTATATTTGGAATCGATTGTTGTTCCGATACCATTGCAAATTTGCATAAGATACTAAAAATAAAATTTTTATTTTAGTCATCATTCAAAAATGTTTATCCAAATATCAAATTACCTAATTTCTTCTTCGTCACTTAAATTTATTACACATTTTGCTTTTACTTATACATTAAAACATTTTTAACATAAAATTAATAAATCCAAATATTAAAAAAAAGCAATAACGCTAGTTATTACATAGCTATGGATAGATTATAATTAAAATTGATAAACTACAAGGAATAGAGGATAAATGATATCAACAATAACAATGATAAGTAAAAAATACCTGGCCAAATTGATTCTCTATTCGTGATATCAGAATGCAATGTTCGTTGGAAGCAGCTAATGCAACGATTGGTTTTACGTATTGTATGTAAACTTCTTCAAGTTTTGTTTGAAAAAACACCACACAATGTTCTTTGTTTTCCATCCTTTCATACGAATAAATCACTGTTTGACCACAATAGGCCCACTAAAAATGGAATTTAAAAATTACTTTAAAAATACCATGGTTCTACCATGTTGAAATTTCAACAATTATCTAACTGAGTTCATTCAAATATTAAGAGATCAAAAAATATTTTCTATAGAAATAAAGCTGTGGAAGTGAATCCTTAGCAAATGCTTGTTAATAATTCGAATGATTAATTCAATTAATAATTTATCGATTATCATATTAATAATGTTGATTGGAATATTTGCAATACTTACTTTGTAATTCGGTCGAATGTTAGCGAAGAATAAATGGCTATCAACTGCCGCACAAAGTCGTAAACCCTCACTTTCCCAAGATATATCCGCAATTGTTTGTCCCGGTATCGGTAAATTTCTTAAAGGCTAGAATTTGAAAAGTGGTAACGCAGTAAGAAAAAGGAGAATAAGTTTTTTAAAAGTGCATACTTTTTTCTAATATCTTTTTTTTCGCAATAAATATTCCAAAGAAGAAAAAAGCACTTTCATTTTAAAAAAAAGTATTTTGAATTGAAATTTTATGATAGATAAGGTGCTACAATAAGCAGCAAACATCGGAATTTTAAATTTTTAATCAATAAAAATCTCCAAAACTAAAATAAATGGAATGATAGAATTAATTAACCTCGCCGTAAGCAGTAGCGAAATGTACCATACATTTTTCATCTTCTGAATTTGTTTGTAAACCACAAATTGCAAGCATTGAGCCATCTGGTGACCAACGGGCTTTACTGAGAATCATATTTGGTAGTTTGATAATGACCGGATCTGAACAAATCAATAATTGCTGCTGCGAGAATGAAACGCTTTCATCTTTTTTTGTTGAAATTATCAAAAAATTATGCTTGATTTTTTTAAATTTTATATGCTTATATTTTCATTTTTACTATAATATAACTGACTTGAATCATTTTCATGTCTCATCAACTGTACAGTACCATGATTGTACGCAACAAGAAATTGTGGCCGATCATCCGGAATATAAACTCGTCGTGATATCGAAAATTTAATAATAAATAAGTCTGATTACGATTTAAACCGATAAATTATTTCAATTGAAGTTACGAAAAAAAGGAAAGAAAGAAAAGAAATTTTAAAAAAAAGCAATGGAATGTTGATAATATTTAGGATTTCTTTTTTTTAGTATTTATTTCAAATTGAAATTCATCCACTTTATCAGTTCAAAATTTTAATCAAAACTAGCCTGATAATTGCTCGAATATTTATTTGATTGAGATAATGGACTAAACCATTCTGTCGAAACAATTGTAATACGACGTAAGTCTTCTAAAGTAAAATTTTTAACAAATACTGTTATCTATTTCAACAATTTCATCGATTTGTGCAAAAAACAAAAGAAATTTATAGTCGAAAGAATTTTTGATTGATGAAAATTAAAAATAACTTACTGTTTAAAGCGGTTTCCAATTCAACATTTTCAATACAAACCATACGTAGCTTATGCACAAATGTGCCTACTGCATCGTATGCATGTATTTCACCATCTATCAGACCGAACATTATCAATGTTGAATCGCCTGACCACTGGAATATTTCAAATTTTATTAAATTCATATAAATTGAAATCAAAATTGAAATTTTATTTCGGTTATTAAGTGTAACATACATCAGTTGCCAATAATAAACCAATTGATTGCTGAAAAAATTTTTATATCAGCGATAATTTCGAAAAGATAAATACAAACAACAATAATTTCAAAATAAAAAATGAAATTTTTCATGAAAATTTATTGACTTCACATAATTTTATATTCAATTCAAATTTTCATCCATTCACAGTGCAGTGAACTAAATTAAATTATTGTTGCACGCTCTCTTTTTTAAATTATCAGTTAAATCAAATCTGATGCGCATATTTTTTAATGATTTTTTCAATTAAAATCATAATGAAAATTTACACAAAGTGTAACCAAATTACTAGCAATATTTTTATTCCATAAACGACTTCCATCAACAGAACCAATAATCGCTTGTCCTAAAAGAAAATGATTGTAATTTAAAGTGAGTTTTAATTTCCGGAAAAAAGAAAAGGAAAGAAAGATCTTCATTTTATTAATTAGCAAAATGGAGGAAAAAAATGTAATTTCGAAACTTTTTTGATCCATTTCATATTCTGATCATTTTCAATCTGAATTTTTGCAATCATTTCTTTGAAAGAATAACAAATCATTGAAAAAAAAAAGTTTTAATCGTTGTAGAAAAATCCGAAATAATTAAAATTTTTTCTCAATTTCATTTTCAGATAGAAAAGAAAAGACCACCACAATATCTCATTTATTCCATTTATTTGTTCTGCTTTCATCCGTTTTTCGATTAATTTCATATATTCAGCATTTTTATGCAGTCACTATCATCCATTATTTTTATTATCTTCGCTGGATCAGATTTATAAATTTATGCTTTTTTCTATCATTCTTATATAGCTTAATACTCAAACATAAATTTATTATGATGCTACAATAAGGTGGGTATTAATTATTAACAAAATTTTAATTCCAATAATCAATTCTTTTAACAAAGAAAAATAGGCAAAGAAATGTGTAAATGATTTTATTATAAGTATTTGAATAACTTTATTGTAAGTTATAATAGAATACGTGTCATTAGTATAACGTTGTTCTACAAAACAAATATTCTTTATTTGTAAAAATTAAAATTGTTATTTTGAACAATAATTAGTATTTAAATGATAACGAATTAACTGCAATAATTGAATTACAAACCATCCTCATAAGCGATAGCAATTTTGGTACCGTTATGACTCCATGCCATGCCAACGACAATTGATTTATTCCGTTTATTAATCATTTCTTCATACCAACTATCACTTTGTGTTAACCAAACGATTATCAAACCGTTACTATCACACGTTGTCAACTTCTGATAACACTCATTCCATTCTGCTATATGGACAATATTCGAATGTCCATCTAAATTTTGATTCATCGATAAATTGCTCGATACCGCTATTGGTGATGTATTGTTACTTGCTGTAAAATTACCGCAATCATTTACCTTTCCCATGACTGATTACATTATTTTACTAATTTGCTTATATTTAAAAAAAAACGAATGTTGTCTCCTTTTTTTCAAAAAAGAGAAATTTTAAAAAAATTAAATGTTAAAAGTATATTAAAAATCCTACGATTTATTAAATATTCATAACAATAAAAATGAACGCATTTGTCAGCATTTCTTTTTTTTTGCTTCTTTGAATGAAAAATTTTAATATTTTATATTCTATATTTACCAATCTTCAAATGAAATAAAACCTGGCATACTTCAACTAAAATATTACTAACGTGAAGTTGCTGGTAATTTGAGAATTTTAAGAAGTCCCTGATTTCCACCAGTTGCAATATATCCAGCTGATTTCATCCATGATACACAATATAGTTTGGTATTATTTGGAATTGAAATCTGAAATATTATGCTGAAAAAATATTTGAAAATTTCACTAGAAATTAATTAATAAAATTAAAAAAAAATTTTTTTGGTGCAAATAAAATTTTTTAATTGATCAGATCCTAATAGTAGCAATTGTTTTTGTTATGAACAATATTTATTACTAATTTTTAATTTCATTCCTTTCAATATGAGATATTTCCATATTATATTTCATACATATGTCATCATAAAATGTCACCAAAGGATGTCAACTTTTGCCATTTATCAGCAAATAATGATAAAGTACTTATGCAAATATCTATAAAAGCAATCTTCTTTTTTTTCTTCCTCTTCTTTTTCTCTTATATTAAAAAAATGGGAATGAACGAATCAAAAATCTAACCTTTTTACTCAAATATACAAATATCATCTGTTCTGCAAAAAAGAATTATTGAAAAAAATTGAAATTCGAATTATTGATTATTATATCGAACTGAAATAGCTATTTAGAAATGCTTGTTCTATTTGCTGTTACCATGGCAATCATTTCTCATTACCTATTGCTTATTTTTGCTTGAAGACAAAATTTTAAATTCAATATTTGATAATCCAAATTCAATATTCAATGAGCAAATCGAAATCAAAAGAAAATTTAAAACAGCATCTCAATTATTGAAACAAACATTGTCAAAATTATAGAAACATTTAGTATTTACGTAAAACTTATATGAAAAGAAAAATTCCCTTAAAATTAATTTTTATTGTTGGCAAATGGAAACTTTGGTAATAATTTTCAGCTATCAAAATATTCAATCGGTTTAGACATATTTATTTTTGAACAAAAATTTAACTCGGTTCAACTGTAGAAGCAAAATGGTGTATCTCGTCTATTCCAAACGGAATGTAAAGTTTTAAATATTAAGACTTATTTATATTTATTTAATATTTTATGCTCACAATTTATATTTATTTAATACTTCATTCCCACAGTTTGGTTATTTATAATTAATTGTTTTTAGAACGAAAAAATTCAAATCTGAACAAGAATTAAAATTCATTTATAAAAAGTTTTGTAGCGAGGAATGAAAAGCATCCCTTCAATGACGTTTAGCAAAAAGCAAAAATGTTAATTTCAAATTTCATTAACTTTAGGTTGTTTAAAATTTTATTCTTTGCCTAGTGAAAACTTTTCCTATTATATAATATTCAATGACAGTATATAAATAATAATCTCAACAAATTATTTAGACTTACTGATATTATTATAAACTAACTGCCGTAAACTAATCCGTTCACATATCGACCCTTTCAAGAAAAGAAAAACCTTTCATAACAGCTCTTCTATTTTAATTAACTTTTGTTAAAATGTCGGTCATTTTAATTTTCGACTGATATATAAATTTCTTTTGTTATTTAGTAATAAATTGTTTGAGCTTTGTAGTGGTGATAAATTTTGATAAAATTTGTATAATTACTTTCGCCAATTTCCAGTCAATTATTGCTTTGTCATTCTTGAAAGATTTGTTGAAATTGTATGTATTTTATTTCAGAATTGATTTAATGTTTAGGATTAACAATCATTAAAAATGGGAAGGAAGAAGTTTCAATTAAAATGATTTTTGTTTATGATAAAAATAAAATGTGAACGAATCTGATTAGTATTTTATTGTTTATTTTAATATTTAAAAATAATTTTGTGAAAGCATGATATGTCATTTCATATAAAAAGAAGTAATTGGAAAATAGTAAGATACAACTAAGTAAATATTAATTAATTATGTTTCGGTTGATAGCATTACATTTATGTTCAAGGTTGGCCAAACAAAAAAAAATTGCTATTGTTTATTTAATAATGAAATATTTCTGTGAAATGTTTTTTTTAGGAGATGTTAGTGTGGCACAATCGAATAGTTTATTGAAAGTTTATTACATTTAATGCAAAATTTATTCTCCATGAATGCTGTAAAATAATTACCAGACAAGAATGAATCATAAGGTTGGATATTAATGATGGAACTATTAATTGATTGCAAAAACCTATTAATAGTATCACAGACACACACAGACACACACAGACACACACAGACACTCATACGGACATACACAGACACACAGACCCACACACAGATACACACACAGACACACACATATACACATACACACAATTTAGAGGTAAAGAAAAATTCAAATGAACAAAAAGGCTAAATAAACGAAGAATTATTCGGAACGCTTTTCTAATAAAGTTGACATCTTGCAGTTAAGAACAGTTAAGAACATTAGGATAAAGAGGAGTTATAAATAAATAAAGCATATTTTATATTATCATCTGATAAATGAAATTAATGATTTATAATTTCAGAATTGTAAATCAAAAAATTAAGTAAATAAGCAAAGTTAAATGGCATAATAGTTATTTGATTGAGAATATTTGAGAAAAGAAAATTTTTACATTAATACATTTTTACAATGCAGAAACACGTTAATTACTTTCATATTTTTTTATATTAATATTTTTGATTTTATTTCAATTTTTTGAAAAGTATTTGTTATTTCATCGAAGTTTTTTTTGGCACCTAAATTGAGAAATAATCTAAATTCGAAGTAATTCATGAATAAATTAAGTAAGCAAATAAATAATCAGTTTATATTCCTTATTTGATTCATGTATTAAATAACTTAAAATAATTGAGCAGATACAAATAATTTAACTAAAGCTTGAATGCACAATTATCCAATTTTAAGCCAATTTTTTTTTTTACTTTCATTTGATATTTTTTAATGAATTTGAATAATGCTACTTTAGATGCCAGAAAACAGCAAGAAGCAAAAAAGACAACTGTGATTAATTGAAAAGGACTTTGAAATATTTGCAAGAAAAAAGTTATAATGCAGAATTTTATAGCCAAGAATAACTTTATAAGCCAATGAGTTATATTTTAGATTATAAAATGTTGCCTGTTTTGATTTATTTGTTTTTAAAATTTTTATACTACTCTAACAGCATTAACGGCCTTAAGACTAATTAACCGGAAAGACATTTTAACGACTTTTAAGACCAATTAGCAAGAAAGTCACTAATGTTTGTCGGCAATATATTTAATGCGCAACAACAAAACTTTTATCCACTTATACATATTATATCATATCATTGCTTTAATATTTCGTGTGAATAGTAAAGTTTAATAATGTAAGATTTTATTTGTTCATTTTAAATTATCAACAAGTAATTAGGATTTCGAGAATTTTTTTCTATATTCAGAATATTCTTACTAATATTTAATGATATGTTTTTCCAGTAACAGAATTATATCATAATATTAAAAATTTCAGATTATGAAATATTACTTTTAATTACGAATATTTTAATGAAAATATATACATGTCTATGTATTATCATTGTTCACTTTAACACATTTTTTCTTCATTTGAGCAGCGTGAAATATATCATAGCATTATTCAAATAATATAAATTTCAAAATTTTAAGTACATGAAATTTTGTGTATTCTCGAACTAGCATGAAATTTATGTAAATGTGAATGTAATTGAAAATATTTTCACAGAATAAATACGAATAAATCGTTTCTCTGAAAAACGAAATCGATTAACAACGCAATCATTCAAAATGAATAAATCTTTAGCAGCATTTTTTTCATCATTCTTATCACAAGTTCAGGATCCAACAGGTCCTTTATCAGCTATCACATACAATAACAATATTTCACGAACAGTATGCCATCGTTCTTTTGTCGTTACTATTTTCATCTAACCAATTCTAATGACCGAAATAGTAATTTAATATTTTTTAAACAGTAGTATCCTTTGTCGTTGCAAATATACACTTAATTATTTTTCACAAATAAGATGCTAAGTAGCAAATAATTATGCTCATTGCTTAATTAATTTTTTTTTAATCAATGCAATAGTTAATATTAATGTTGCACTATATAATTGAGAGTAATTTTAAAAATTAGTGTAAAATGAAAAGGAATTTTTTTGATGAAATTTTTCATAAAAAATTTTATTTTGTTATTGCGCATCAATTAAACAAACTATTATTATTAGAAATGAAAGTCGAAACAAAATTAAGTTATAGTAACATTGGGAAATGCTGAAGGAGAAGCGAGAAGTGATGGTATTGTAGAATCGGTGAGAAGTTTAGTTCCAGCTTTAGTTTCAAGTTTAAAGTTTAGTTTCAATGCAAATATAAATCAACATCAGAAAGTGGCATATGGATGTAAATCATTCGGCAAATATTATCAGCAAGCAATTCATGATCGACTCAGAATACTTCAGGAACGACATAAGTGACCTGTAAAGATACGTTTTAACATTTCAGTTTCAAGGTCAGTTCGAAATATTTAATTACTTATTT